CGGTGCAGAAGCTGAGGTTATTCTTCTGGGTGGCGCTCTCAGGTTCCAGTGTGCCACAACATGATAGAGTTCGTGCATATGCATCAGAGCCCTTCTCATGTACATACATACGCACATACGGACATGCCTACCTACATCACATGCAGCGGGGTGTCTCGAAAGCGTATTAAGAGAACAACACGTGTATGTGAGTTAAACATGTATGCATGCATACATATAGGCATGTATAGCGTATGTAGTACCACAAGATATCCATACATCATCTATCATCCATGTTATGGTTCATCCATCCAGACATCCGTTATAATATACGTGCATACATGTGTATACACACACATGCAGTTAAACATGTATGTATGTGTCGCATGTATGTATGCATGCATGTATGTATGTATGCATGCTTATAAGTATATACACACGTATGCACGTACCAGCGTACAGATAGAATGAAGGATGCATGGACGGATGCATGAATGGACTAACGCGTAGATACATGCACGCATGTCTGTATGTATGTCTGCGTGCATGTAGGTGCTTTTAAATATCTATCTCTACATCTGTTTCTATAATATCTGCATCTTTATCTATATCTATGCCTGTATCTATATCTATATCTTTATCCATATCTATATCTGTATCTATATCCATATCTGCACCTCTCTCTCTCTCTCTATCTATCTATCTACCTATCTATCTATCTATCGATCTATCTATCTATCTATCTATCTATCTATCTATCTATCTATCTTAATGTGTTTATACACGTATGCATCCTCACATATCTTTATACACATTTGGCCCACGTGTGTAAACATCTGCACAAATATGCAGGACAGCTGACGCTTCGTGTGTTGCTCTGTTGCCCGCAACATCATGTTGATTTGAAAGGTTGGTTGTGGAATGAAGCGACAAGGAGTAGTATTGGAGGCTAGGTTGGGAGGGCAGGCCGTGAGTGCCCAGGCGTCTCTCTCCTGGTGAAGTATGGCACTGGCTTCTTCACAGGGAGGACGGACACCACCTGCTGAAGATGCGAAGATGCTGGCCCGTGCCTAGGCCCCCACAGAAAAGGCTTTTCATACATGTTGCGCTTACGGTCAGGACCGATCAGCCGGCGGATGACGAAGAGGCCGCCAGGCATCCCAGCTTGCTGATGCTCGACCAAAGGCTACCAGGACAACTGCTGAACAAAAACTTGGCCTTACCCTGTCGCATTGAGGCAAGACTCTGCACCACTGTTGGGAAGCTGGCTGCGACCTTAGCCTGGGGGTTGCCTGCTGCGGTGGTCGCCTGGCCGAGTGCTGCACGCGACATAGTATCTGCCATCACCGTTCTCAGGACCACTTGAGATGTACTGGTAGCGGACCGAGCCTGAACCTCAGAGAGACCCTGATATGGCGAGAAGGGTTTCGGAAACTGGTCTTCAGGCATGGATTTCGCTCCAGCACCGCCAATGTGCACCTTCCTTTCCATCAAGGAGGCACCGAGTGGACGCTCTCCGACAGTATATCGAAGCACCTGTGTTTTCTGCGCCCTGGGAATGAGCAACTCCACGGTACGGCATTGCAGGACGCGCTTCGGCGGGGTCTTGGCCAGCAGCCCGAATGCTATGGGTTGAGTCCTTAAGCCTCGTGCTTCAAGAGTGCAGCAGGGACTTTGTGCGCTCCCAGGAGAGCATGCAAAATGCGCAGGCGGGCCAACAAACCGACCGACATCTCCTTCACGAGTGCTGCTTTTGTCGGCAGCCCAAGAGGCCTTGTGATCGTGGCTAGGATTTCGGGCGTTCAGAGTTTTGCTTAGGGCAGGGCTTACAGCAGTGGACTGCCGGGCAGCCGCAGGCACTTGCTGAATTCGGCGTGTGCCGAGGTCTGCTTTGCAGCAAAGCGGCTACGCCGCATCCGCCTTAGCGCATAGGCCCTGCAGCTGTCTGGGTCGGTCTTCGTCCGACTCCCAGGTGCCGGGCGCAGGGTTGCAGAAAGCTTACGAGGCCGGTTTTCTTGCGCAAAGAGTATTGACCACAGTCAGGCAGGGAGTCTTGAGGAATCCCTCCAGGTATCAATTTCGGAGTTCGTCCATCTGTCCCTTTGGCATAGCCTTTTCTCGGAGTGACGGTGTTTGCGAGTTCTGGCAGGAAATGTGCTTGTTTCGAAGTAGTAGCGTTGCACGGGGAGAGCAGTCATGTACCAAGCGAAGACTTCAAGGCAGTGCACAGCCCAGAGTCCGTGAAACCCCAAAATTCCAAGCCTCAGATGCTTCATTGGTCCTCTGTGCCGAAGGCGTGCGGCCTCCGATGCCACCACCGTCATTTCCTCCACCCGACCATGCTGGGCCCCCAGATCTTCGGGAAATGCTCCGCTGGCTCGGGTCATCTGCAGGAGCCTTCTATCCAGAGGGTGCCCTCGTTCTACTCCATCGACACAGCACAAGGCCCCGCTGCCCCTTGCTGCTTCGAAGGCACCTTTAGAGCCTCGTCACTCAAAGGTGTGCGCGAGTCAGAGCAAGACCCAAAGCCAACCTCCCTAACGGGACGCATGGCCGGGCTTATCAGCGCCCGGGTTGCATTGCAGTGCGATCGGGCAACAAGTCCGCAGCAGTTGTCTTCCGAAATTTCTGAAGCCAAGGTGGCCATGCTGCCGACTGGGCCGCACTGACAGTCGCAGGCGGCGTACACAGCCTTGAAACGAGCTGCATGATACTGCATGAGCTGCGCTCTCTCGCGCCACAGCTGTTTTCAGGTTTGGCAGCTGGGACCCTTGCAGATCCAAACGGACCGCGTTTCCTCAGTCCATCCTGATCTTATCCCGTTTTTCAGGCCGAGAGTGAAGTTCTTCGATCCTTCGTGGGACGGTTTGTGGGTTCTAGTTCGAGAGGATTCCAGCACCTGAAGGAAGTTTGCAATTGTTTCATACTGTTTCGGGGTTTCAGGTACGGGAGTCAGCGCCTCAACGCTGAGCAGGAGGCAGCCTGAACAGTAGTTTGCAGAGCTGCGCGCATTTTTGGAGTCAGACAACCGCTGACTCTTAGACTTCTGTCGAATAGACTTCTTTCGAAAGCCATGCAATGTAGCTGGCAAGGTGCATGTGTGCAGATTTCGCAGTCTTTCAGCGTCCGAGTGCAACCGATTCTGAAAGGGAACCTTGCTTCGACAAGGACTTATGCTAGAGACAGCGGGTTCTCAGTCTTCTGCACCTGCGCCAGTGTATAGTACTGCCTGGCCTGATTTGCCACGTTCGCATCGCGAGGTCTAGAGGACATAGGCTCACCAGGTCCAAGATGAACGGGGTGAAGGCAATCCTGCTACTCCTGGCTGGGTGTCTCATCAGCTGGTCTGCCTTCAAAAGAAACGGCACGACCTTCACAGTCGGATAGCACCCAGCCTTGCCAGCGAGGATCCAAGACCTAAGCAACAAAGCACGTCTGCCTCAGATCGAGCTGCTGTTTTCCAGTTTAGGGAACTGACGACATCTGGATATTGAGTTGCTGACAGCTGCGATGCTGGAGCACGGCAAGCACAGGATGTGTTTATTGTAGAGCATAGGCGGTGCCATGAGGAGCACCCGTTTTTCAGTCCACCAACAAGCCCGAGCACCGAATTCAACTTTATGGCAGACTTGCCGCTTGCGCAACAACCAAAAAGTCATGCTCCTCAGAAAGCTTGCGCCATGCTTGTGGTAGCAGGTCCGATCATTACCCCTTTCACAGCAGTTCAGACGACGACGACCGCTGCTACCGCTACCGCTACCGCTACCGCTACCGCTACCGCTACCGCTACCGCTACTGCTCCTGCTGCTGCTGCTGCTGCTGCTCCTGGTGCTGCTAGTGCTAGTGCTAGTGCTAGTGCTACTGTCTACTGCCGCTGCTATGCGACGACGACGACTACTACCCCTACAACACCTACTAATACTGCTTCCACTACTCCTTCTGCTACTCCTGCTACCCCTACTACTGCTATCACGTTGCTGTTGCAGCCGTTGTTGGCCTGGCAGCGATCGCTGTTCACAGGCATGAACACAGTTGAGCTCATAGACTCATAGACTTGAGACACTCATGTAACGCACTGAATCATAGCAAACTTAAAGTCGTCCTGCCTTTACTCGCTTTGTTTATCCGATAATAGGTCCAGCTGTGTTTTTTCGTTTTGTTGGCGCGCGAAAGTTTGGCGTTTACACTGTCGCTGCCAGAGGCACTTTTTGCAACAGATCCCATGAACTTCATGCTAAGCGGCAACTATATGCTCCGCTTGTACAGTCCAGTCCCTCTCAGGAGCCCAGCTGGCAGCGTCGTCCCGGTGTTGGCAGCCTCCGCACAGCCCTGGGCCCAACAGAGGCCTGGGGGTGGCCTGGGGTTGGCGAGGTCTTTGTTTCAGCAGGTGCATGTTATTGTTATTCATTATTAGCATTGTTAGTAGTATTTTTAGTATTATTGTAATCATTATTTCTTTTTAATCATTTTTGATTTTCTGAGTACGGTTATGGTGTTGCTGCAGGTCACGGATGGTGCTGAGAGCAGAAGCCACAGTCCGCAGCTGGGGCCACCACAAGCAAAAAGCAAGGCAGGAGGCAACCTGGTCGTGGAATTTGCAGCAGTGCTTTGTGAGAGGCTACAGCAGGCATTCGATCGACACAGCCTCGCATGTGCTTCCAGGCTTATAAGCTTGTCAGGGGGCAGCTCAGCTAGGAATGAGAAGCAAGACAAGCCCAGCATGCAACGTGCTTTCGCAACACCAAGCAGTCGGCGATCATCCAATCTGATCGCCTCCCTTCCCTGTGGGTTATGGACCAAAGACACGAAGTAGCTCCAGGCACTTGCCCCACAGCACCCTGACCGAACCAAGCCACAGCTGGTACCGGCGATCAAGAAGCCCAGCGTCGGCGGAACTTTTTTCCAAAACTTTTTAACGGGACGTGAGACGCCCATTCAAATGCTGCGGGCTTATGAACGGCTGCTGCATGCGTGTGTTGACAAAGGGGCTCTTCCGGGCATCCTGGGTGCACCGAGGCACGATGGCGTCGTCAAAGATGGGCGCAGAGAAGAACTCTCATGGATTTGAACGTCTGCTGTGGGATCCTGAGGTCTTTCATTTCCATGGCGACACCAAGAAAATCCTTTGAACCATAGCACCGAGAGATAGTCTCTGCCGCGAGAGGCAGAGGCCTTGATTCCGCTGAGAGCGAAACCGGTTCCAAACGAGGCCCGTCTGGAACTGCATCGCGTCCTTTGGCACGGTGGCTGAGCCAAGTTCTCGGTACATTGCTGCAGAGAAATCAGGGCCCGTGGCTCGCACAGCGCCGGATCAGATTGCAAGAAGCCGTCCGAAGACCGTGGTTTCAAAGGCTCACAGGGTCACAGGGCTGCAGATGTCTTGACAAAGCCGAACCCGAAAGCCGAAACACAAACAAGGAGGGCCTGGAAAATTACAAAAGGCGGAATTCGCCCTGAAAAGATCTGGTTTAGTGGCTTTGATTTAATGCCGTGTAGTCCAAAAAGCTTGAAGCTTCCAAGCCCATTAGCCCACATCTCGGAACTGCGGCGCCGAGGTCGCTATACAATGCGCAAGCATGCCACACTCTTAGAAGAGCGTGCCAGGACCTGCCGTATTTACTGCACGGTGCCATGTTTGACGGTCAGTAGTTTTTTCTGCGGACTTCACAGTTCAATCTCTGTCCCTGTCTTTCTATCCCTCTCTATAGTTTACCTTCACACAGCATGTGGTCAAGTTTGAGAGAAGCCTGCTGGCAGGATACAGCTCTCTGGCGCCAGCATGCCATGTCACTGCGGTATATACGCCCCGCCGAGCACACGACTGAGTGTGCAGATCACACGGTTTTTGGCCGAAGCGACAGCACCAGTCTTCTGACATGAGAGGCTTTGATGGTGGGGGTAGGCTGTCATGACTTCGAAAGGTCTCGTTAACTACCAAGGAACTGCCATGAGAGCCTGCACACCGCAGCGCCACAGGCAGAATTAACAATGTGTGCACGCTTGCATTCTTGTCTTGTGCGTGGTGAGTGGTGTGTGTGTGTGTGCACATCATGCGCGCAAAGTCGTTGAGAACTTGTAGTTTCGAAGGCTCATCCTAGAAGAGCAACTTCGCAAGGGATGTGCTTGCCAGGGAGCAATGTCTGTTGGAGCATCCTGATTCGGTACCTGTGCATTGAGCCACAAAACGAAGCGCAGGCGCGCAGTTTGCTGCTGTTGGTCGACTGGCACCAGCTCGTGAAGCTGAACATGGCCAGCAGGTCCCAATCTATCAGAGGCAGTAATTTTCTTTGCACGGCCACAGTGGCTAGGGGCGGCAAGAGAGCAAGAACGAAATTAGAAACTCCAGCGAAGAATGTTGTTGCGGTTGTAGTTATAGTTGTGGTTGCAGCCGGATTTGTACCTGCAGCAGCAGGAGTAGCGGTAGCGGTAGGAGTAGGAGAGTAGCAGTACGAGCAGCACTAGCAGTTGTTGTCGTCGTCGTTGCATTCGCAGTCGAAGTGCCGCAGTCGTGGTCGTGGTCGTCGTAGTAGTAGCAGCAGTAGTATAAGTAGTACCACTAGAGTAGTAGTAGTAGAAGTAGAAGTAGTAGTAGTAGTAGTAGTAGTAGTAGTAGTAGCAGTAGTAGCAGGAGCAGTAGCAGTAGCAGTAGCAGTAGCAGTAGCAGTAGTAGTAGTAGTAGTAGTAGTAGTAGTAGAAGAGGAGGAGTAGTAGTAGTAGTAGTAGTAGTAGTAGCAGTAATAGTAATCTTGGTGGTGGTGGTGGTGGTTGTGGTAGTAGTGGTAGTCCCCACATAATGCCTTGAACTGTGAAGCCAGAAAGTGCAGGCGGGGCGTCTCGGTTCGACTCCGTGGCTCAGACATGCGCCTGCCTTTGAAAAGTGGAGACAGCATTCCCATGCTACAGGCGCGGCACGGCAAAGTGTGTCAGGGGATGCAGACTCTTGCTACTTTGAGTTGAATTTCGGTTTGAGCGATGTGAAGTGTGCGTGATTGCCTGAAGTTGTTTCAACTTTTCCACAGCCTGCATGAAACGGCAGCATTTCGGAGTAAGACTCAGGCCAGCTTGTTGAGGCCCTTGTGGTGACCCAGAGCATGATGACTGAGCCTAGAGTCCTGGAGTATCAAGACTGCGACCTGGAAGGCACTGTACAGAATTCTGGCGCAAATCCTACGGAGGCTTCACAATCCCGGGTGGAGCCGCCCCGTTTTGCAAGCACGCGGTTTCCAGAAAAAAAAGACGCTCTGAGATACAGAGAGGGCTCGCCTGGATGTCCCAAATCTTTCCACGGAGCTCAAGTGGGCAATGGCAATGACGGCAGCAACACCCATAGTAAACCGCGTGAGCCGCCACTGGCAGGTCCTGGCCTTTCCGTCTCCGCTGGCTCCAGTGGGGTGGACGTCCAGGGTGCCTTGTAGACCACGGCAACGCTGGGGACCTACCGCAAACTGTGGGAGGGCGTGACAGTAGAAGTCGTAGTCGTCGTAGTTCTCCTTGAAGATTAGTCATTAGTCCGTGCAACAACATGGGAGTAACAAGAGAAGCGGAGCTGCCGCCTGCAAAAACAATCGCTTGGTCCGCACATTGTCGAGCGAACTATACTAGTATACTAAAGTATGTTCTATGTAGTATACTTTAGTGTATGATTATGGATCCAAATTCGGATCCAGGTTACGGTCCCACAACCGCGCTACCCTCCACGCGACATGCCCAACTTGCCCTCCCCAAACCCTCCTGCGCTCTCCAAACCCTAAACTCAAACGCTTAGCCCTCAGCCCTAAACCCTACGACGAATAGACGTTCAGGTGGGACATCTCGGCCCTGGATCTAGACTCTTCCTAGAGTGGGCCGACTGCTCAGAGGCTAACAGGGCTGACACGAAGTTGCGGGTACGTATATGTCGTATCATTCTGTGACATGCTGTGCTGCGCTGTGCAACATCCGGTCTTTAGTAAATGGGGTTACACATGTTGCATGGCGCCTGGGTACGCGACGGCACCGCAAGAGCAGCTAGCCCATGGACGCAAAAGCATTAAACTATCTCCACGAATTTCCAACTTGACTTGCCCAATGCAGTGGATCCTAGAGGGCAGTTTGACACAGCCGAGGGCGATCCACTTCTCGGTTTCATTCTCAGCTGCTCAGAGCATCTGCAGTTAAGATTCAATGGCGTGTGCAGGGTCTGATTCAGGAGGCCTGGTCTGGGGCATTGGATTGGGTTGCCGGGCATTGTGAACGAGGGTTGGGCACTGCCCGCAGCGCTGGACCTCACTGACTCAATCTGGGTATCGCCATGGCTGTAACATCCTTGGATTCTCGACTCTTGGAGGAACGAGGATGCAGTGCGCGGCAGCAGCAGCAGCAGCAGCAGCAGCAGGAGCAGCAGCACCACCACCGCCGACAGCACCACCGCAACCGCCGCCGCCGCCACCACCACCACCACCCCCACCACCACCACCACCACCACCACCACCACCACCACCACCACCTCCACTGCTCTCTTTGTCATACCGTTTCAAATCATGTCATGCCATGCCATATCGCACCATACCTTTCCATATCATATAATACCACATCATCTCACATCCCATCAGAATCATAACATAAACATAACATAAGCATATCATGTCACATTACCGTCGTACCATGTCATGTCAAGTCACGCTACGTCGTGCCATGAGATATCATACCACATCGTATCTCTTTTCTGATCTGACTAGATATCTGATTTCATCACACCTGATCTCTCATGCCATGGTCGGTCATATCATATCTTACCAAGTCTTACTATATATCCTGCCCTATCCTATGCTATTTTATCTGGTCATACCATACCATACTGCATCATATTATTTCGTGGCATGTCGCATAGCTGCACATCATGTCATGTCATGCCAGTATGTTTCTTGGTCGTCCTTGCATGCTCTTGCACGCTCAAAGCAATGCCGGGTACTCGATGTCACAGCGAAGTGCTATGGCTGCTTCACGATTATGCGCAGAGGGGGCGAGAAGACTACGTTTGTCGTTTCAGGATGGCCCCTGCCTCCGGTGGTGTTTGATGCATGCCGGGCTCTCGGCATCTTGCGTCATGAAGCCTCGTCACCTGCACTCCAGTATGCACCAGTTGCCATCCACTTTGCAAGCCTGGATGGGATTGTACTCGATGGCAAGGCTTGCAGTGCTTTTGCTGGCAGGCCTCCACTTCAACCTGCACTGGGGACGGCCCGTGCCTTGGAGCCCCATTGACAGCTCGGCTGACTGTCATACACATTGATGGGTGCTCGCTCGGATCGTACAACGCTGATGAAATTGCGTTCAAGTGGCGATATCAATCTTGTTGCTGGGTTTGGGGTTTCGGCAACTTAATATTCGTGGAGCAGCGGGCTACCGTGCAGTATCAGTAGCGAAGCTTTAGTTCTTTTCGCTGTCAGGCAAACGTCCTGGACATGGCCAAAATTCCAACAACTGTCCATGGGGCAGGACGGGACATCGCGACAATTTGCCACCCTAGTACCTGGGATACGTACCTCTGGTAAAGAATCGGTTGAAGCAGTGCTTGATCTGGCAACATCTTGCACCTTGGGCAGCGGATGGCAGCGGTCAAAACTCGGCTTGCTCTCAGGGCTACATGGTGCATGTTGTCTCCAGCTTGCTTCCAAAGACGGAGCAGTGGTTGCAAGTGCCGGCCGGGCGCTCGTTTGAGACATTGCTGGGCCAGGAGGCGCGCCAGCACACTAAGCGGAAGCACTCCTGTACCTACACCATCCCTAGTGTAGTATGCAGACTATACGAGAGTAGACAGATTTCATACTATATCGCAAGGAGCCATCATTTCTTGCACCCAATGCAAGGCCGAGAGCAACATGCTGGACCTCTTGGAGGTCATCGGACACCTCTTGAGGCACCCGAGGTTTTTCGAAATGGCAAAGATAGTTTGCACTTCCCTGATGTCTGAAATGTACATTGTAGCACGGTGCAGGATAGTATAGTACAGTGTAGTAGAAAGCCTAGTAGAGTACAGTACATCTATCAAACTCTGAGCCCTCCCGAGCCTGAAGCCCTCCCAGGCAGAACGCGTCTTCGGCGCTCACATGCAGGCCATGTTAGTATGTTGCAGAGCTTGGGGCCCTAGGTTCTAGGAGTTTACGCTTGCGGGCCTCCATCTGCCTCCATCCTTTGGGGGCCTTCCCGGCGACAGAGGCCCAACGTATAGTCACTGCACAAGGCCACAAAGTTAGAAGAGAGTAACAGCCATTAGCACTTCCTTTGGTAGTGCTCCCAATTTCAGAGATTTGAAAGCACGTTACTAGTCAGCATACTCCTCGTCGTCTCAGTCTGCACAGCCACCATCAGCAACAATCGGGGATTATGATCGGAGTAGCAATCTGAGTTGGCAGCCGTGTGAAGTTCACGCCCTGATATCGAAAATCATAACCTGAGCAGTGTCATCATCATCATCGTCATCGTCATCGTCATCGTCATCATCACCATCATCTTCATCGTCATCACCATCATCAGCATCTTCATCATCAGCATGGCCAGCATCTAATCATCAGCAGCATCATCATCCATCGCCCCTCGCTTCTGTGAGGCCGCTGCACTTCCGCCTGGTTGACATGCCAAAGCCTTAAAAGTTAACCGGCGAACCGGGGCAGTCGGAGGATTCAGAACTTCAAGGCTGTAGGAGTCCCAGATCAGATGGAGGTCGTGCGGGCCGGCACCGCGACTGGTAAAAACCACTGCTGGCACTACAGGTACTACTGATGTCAGATACAATCATAATATCCAGGACAGAAGCAATAAGTATGATAGTACTTGCACTAACCGTGAGGAAAAGCAAATGGCTGTCATGACCAGGGTCGCAGCAGAACTAGCAACACGAGACTGCATTAGTAAGGGTTTTGATCAGAAACACGCTCCCGAAGCAACAGCTTCTCGTATTGTAGCTTTCAAACCAACGCCAGGGACATTGGCCGGGGTGTTGTGTCATCACTCCTTTCGAAACTCCGCAGCTACCAGCACCAGAATTCTATAAACTCGACCGTAAACCCTAAACTCGTCCCTATGAGCCTTGCCGTCATTATCATGTTCTTGTTGCTCCGCCCTGGCTTCCGTGCATTGTGACATGGCTTGGTTCTCTCTGTTTTGCGGCTTTGTTGTGATGGCCGCTGTCGCTGCTGCGCTAGCACCGCCACTGCTGCTGCTGCTGCTGCTGCTGCTGCAGCAACGACATCAACGGCTGCCACTACTGCTGCTACTACCACTACTAAATGGCGCCAACGGCGTCGACGACCAAGACACGACTCCGACGAATACTACTACGAATACGACTACGACTTCGACCATAGTTTCCCATGGCGACGACCGACGACGACTTCTACTACTAGTTCTTCTATTACTATTCTTATTACGATCACGACGCCGACGACTACCGACTACCCCTACTCCTCCTGCTCCTTCTCCTGCTCCTCCTACTCTTGCTCGTCGTGCGAGTGCTGCTACCACTGCTGATGTTCCTTATACCCATATCGGAAGGCCACTGCGACAACGACGATAGCTATGACAGATGGAATTTGCTTCCCATATTCAATTATTCAAGGATCTATGACATCTATGATATGGCGGACGCTGCGGTTTTTGGTGCCGACAGTCTTAGTAATGCCGTGAGAGCTTTTTGATGGTCGTTTTGAAAAATGGTCGATCGTGTTGGTATTGCTTTCGAAGACAGTCCGTAGAGGGTTGCATGGAACCGAAAAAGTTCGACCCCTGCTGCATGCGGACGGGGACCCCAGAATTTGCAACATTCAATCCTTCACCGCTGAAAAATCACAGCCACCGTCCGTTCGCAACCTCTGTCTTTACCGATCCTGCTTGAATGAGGTGCCCTTTAGCTGGCAAGGACGTGGCGCACCCGGCGCCCGAGCCCTTGTTGACGGAGAGCTGCCAGCGTAGACTGCACGATGCCAGATCTTTGCAGATTGATTTGGGGTTCAGGGTTTGTCGCGTTTGTGTCTGTCCGCTATCGAAATTCTCCGGAAAATGTTGTAGCCAACAACCTGCCTGAACCCGCGAAGCTAAAGCCGGAGATCTCCGCAAACTGCAAGCAAGTCAGCTGTCTCACTTCACGTTCTTTCCTGCCTCGCTAGGCTGAAAGACCTTGCTTGGGCACAGTGTGAGACGCTCTATGTCGAGGTCCGCCAGCCGTTAAGATCTTGCACACGCAGTGCTCTTCGTACTTGCTGCCATGGGTTGCACATCTGGAACTGCCCCAAGCCCCTTCTGACAACAAACCGGTGCAGGGCAGTAGCCTGCTGGCTTTGAACGAACTAACTGTGCTCGCATATTCATATTGACAGGCCGCCAAACTGGATGCCTGTCCATTCGAAGGCAGCGATGCAGCTTCTCAGTCGCCCGAAATAGTGAGCTTGACCAAATGGTATATATATATATATATACACACACATACACACCTACACACGCATTCTTATTTGTGTGTACTATTCAATATGCATATGTATGCATATATATATATA